AGCCATCGGCTAGCCAAAGTCTGACCCGCAAGGAAGCGGGGCGATGTGCGGAAACCGCAATCCTTTGGGGACCGGTGTCCAGTTCATTGGATCACACCCTTCGGGCGAAGTCAAATATCCAAGCTGCCAAATACACCTCAATGCCCAATCGAACTGGTGACCACTTCCACCTGGAAGTTGTGTGGTTCTTACACCTCTTCTTGGTTGATTTGGAATCAGGGTTTTTGGTCAACTACCCTAGGTGAACTACCAGTGGTCTACCAACCCGGATATAGGCTATTCGTCCTCTCACTTTGGTGGGAAAACACCCCCGCCACGAGAAGGCAGTGGGTAGGGCTTCCTCGGCAGAGGCTGTTTGAAACGCTTGGTCTCATGGGAGCATTTTTCGAGGTGCGAGGGAAGGGTGACCAGCCGCAACCCTAGACAGCCCTCCCCCCCCCCGACCATATTGAGGCTTTTGGAGGCAAGTGAACATTCAGAGAAGGCGCAACTAAGGAATAGGTCAAATTCGTACTCGTATTTGACACGCTAGTCTACAGTGAATTCCCAATTATTGGATGCATGTACCCAGATGCATGCGAGGCATTTGTTCCGTCGACAGATATTGTACTATTTGGCCTCCTCTTTGCATTACTCACTCCCAACTATTTCGGATTTATGCGCTGTTTACATGAATTCCTTTTTCACATTGATGACGAAAGCGATAGACAGAAACAAATTGATTTCAACGATTGCATATCACACTTTTTCAGATCATAAAAAGGATGAAACAGAACAGATTCTCAACTGTTGGAACAAATCAAATATCATTTGTTCGAAAGGTATGTGTGGAAGAGTCGACTGTGATGCGTGATGAGCGGAACAGTATCATTAGAAAACGGTCTGAGTAACACTGAGCGGCAGCGTCCCTAATCTGATTTGACAATGGGGCCTCCCTTACACAGTACAATACTTGGAGTACTTATAAATCAGTGATGACAATTTCAATAGCACCCACTATCTACTACCGGAATTTCATAGAACTGAGATAAAATAGGAAGTCCACGAAAGTAGCGGTTATTTTATGGTGAGAGCAAACTGAACGGTGTGTATGAGAAACTATTTTTGGTACAAAATGAACTAACCAATGGGCAATTACGTTCTGCCAGCCAGTATTTCTGAATAGGATGCGGTGAATTTCATTGGCGCGAAATACTGGCTCCTCCTCATCGATCGTCGTGAAACCAACTAGCTCTACCTCGAAGCCTTGGATTATCACAAATAAGCAGATTTTGAGCGCTGTAAAATCCGATGCTGACCACCGCCAAGACGGTTGGACTTCGTTCACATAAACCCTCCAGATTGTACGCTCCAAAACACTTTGCGAAATCATTTAGCCTTCTATGGTCCTCCGTTCATTCCACCTCAGATCACTAACACGGATTGAACAAAAATCGGATAGCCAGATTAAATTCATTCTTCTTAATTTGATATAAGCTCAATCATGCTCAAATTCAATCATTCTATTCCTCATCGGGGCTAACCCTAAACCCCAAGAAAATGTGTTGATTGTTTACATAGTTTTGCTCACTCCCCGTATCCGACAGACCCCACAGTGATTAATAACAATCCCTTATCCAGGGTGAACTCTGTCAAATATCTTGATGTAACCATAGATAGCAATCTTCATTGGTCTACCTACATCCACAACTGCATTAGTAAACAGCGGCGATTATCATTTCAAATTCGAAAACTCAGGCAGTTTCGTGCATCTCAGTCAGTTATTTCTATCTTTGTTTATCAGTGTTTTCCCCATCTTACTCTACTAATCCCCAGTCATTTTTCCTGGCTTACTGAAATAGGATTTTGAAGTCTTACGCTACGGTCTAACCATTATTAATCGTGTCTCTTCTATTTCTGTGAATGAGTTAGCTTTATAGCTTTCAGAGTGTCATGTAACCTCCTGCGTGAAATTCGCTGAGAGGATTCTCACAGATCCTGACCACCGATTGCACATAGAACTGACACGTTATCGTTTCCATCATTCAACACGCTCCCAAATCCGCCAAATTTCCTCTCGAATTAACGCTTACCGTAATCCATCTATACCATAACTTGCTCGTCTACTCACAAACGAAGAGCGTTCAATAAGTGAACTTTGTCATAACCTTGGATTATGAAATGTCCCCATGCCAGTAAAAACTTTTCTCCCCGTTGATTATGTATATTGTGACCGTTGGCGTGTATGGTTTTAACTGAATTGGGAGCTCCATTTCTTGCAAAGGTTATACACAATACAATACAATACATATCCAGTTTGCGTAACTTAGACTGATAAGAATCCTCCCTTTAAATCCTGATCTATTACGACATTTCTCTAGGTAAATGATGTGGTGTACTCGGAAGCTGAAGATTCACCGAAATTAAGATTATTGGTTAGACTAGTTCCTTTCACTGTATGCAGCTAGCATATTCAGGGAATTCAAGTAAAGAAAGTGGTTAGGGTTTGGAGAGGCCTGGTGGATGTTACGCGCAGAGGAGGTGGAATGCACTGCTGTCTGGGAACAACCGGTTACTGTTTCAACACATTCATGCGGCTTGCTTAGAAATACAATTTGAGATACAGTCAGCGCCAATGGCGGACTTTCGCTGTCAAACTTCTGCGATTTGTGACCAAAGTTCGTAAACTATCATTATCCTTACATATTCGATGCACTCCTTTTGGTGACCACGCCGCAAAGGTTAGTGCTGGACATTGTATAAATCAGTTGTACACGCGGACCCCGGCTGCCTTACAAATCGATTACGAAGATCACAGATTGATCAGTATCGCTATGAAAATCACAGAAGAATTAGTTTAATCAACATCGTCTCTAAACTTCTCGCTGGCATCATACTCCGTCGACTGTCTGCTGCACGTGATGGTGTACGCGTGAGAACCACCGGTATCATACTCCGTCGATTGTCTGCCGCACGTGAACGGTGTACGCGTGAGAAGCAGGCTGGTTTCAGACCTGGTCGAGGCTGTATTGACCACATCTTCACACTTCGTCAAATTCTAGAACATAAGCACTCCTTTCGTAGACCCACCATTTCTATCTTCTTCAATCTGAAAGCAGCTTTCGATTCAGTCGACTGCTCTGGCGTTGTCTCGCTCTAAAGGGTGTGCCCGAGAAGTTTATTTCAATATTACAATCGCTGTATACTACCAGCCGAAGTCGAGTCCGAGCTTACGGCACTTTTTCACCTGAGCTCACCACAGAAAGTGGTGTTCGAAAGGGTTACCCTCTCTCTCCGTTTCTATTTAACTTCCTGATAGATTCAACTCTTGAAACCACCCTATCCTAGTGCGAGGATAGCGGTATCGATTTACTCCCAGGCGGTAGACTGTCTGATCTAAAGTATTCAGACGACATTGTGTTACTAACTGGAGATCCAAATAAGTTACAAGCCTTGCTGGATAGTTTGAGCGCTAGTGTATTCATGTTCGGTATGCGTTTTGCACCTTCAAAGTGTAAAATGTTAATGTGTTACTACACGATTGGTTTGGTGCAGAACCCAACCTCACCCTGAGTGGGGAAGTAGACAAATTTTGCTAACTGGGCAGGCATATTTCGCCTGGCAGACGAATCACAGATGAAATGTCGGCGCGCATACCATAGGCTTTGTCGTCATTTGCCAAAGTGAGATATTTGTGGCGCCGTCGTGAAATCCGGCTGTCTGTGAAGGGCCCAGTATATGCTGCAGCAGTTCGGCCATTACTGCTCTACAGTGCAGAGACTTGGCCACTACGGGAATAGGATAAAAATAGCTTATCGATGTTCGAACACCGCTCTCTACGCAGCATTACACAAGTCTGCTGGGTAAACCGGACGAACAATGCGTAGAGTTTTAGGCAGTCGCGGTCGTCCACCGGAGCAAGTGATCAACCTCCATCGATTACGTAGGTTGGGGCATGCGTTACGCATGTCACCAGATAGGTTGCCATGGCGAGTGATGTTTGCCAAGGCTGGTAGCGGTTGAAAAAGATAAAGGATGGTCAAACTAAGACCTGGCCTGAGGGTATGAAAACCCCAACCAGGACTAAGGGTCATATAGGTCCCGTGAGGCTCCCTGGATGGGGACCTCGGGATGATCGCACCCGATGGTTAGAGACACTGAGTTGTATGCCTGGGTGTCGTAGACAGTGGCGTTCGTGCATCTTCTCAATTTCTTTTCAACATTAGTCCACTAAACGTTTCAATCTTCTCTTCGATCCCACATTCAACCTTTC